ATACAGTTCTGAAATGATGTTTCTCTTAAATTTTTAAAAGCAAGAGAACTCGACTTAATGGAAAGTGAATAACTGATTAAAAAACTGTGTTTATTCAAGTACATAAAAAATAGAGAAACAAACATAATCAAAGTTAAATGTAACGGAAATGATTAGATTGAAAGTTGAAAGCTTCTTAAAAATATTCACATGACAAAGGAATAAATTGTATTTACATTTAAATCAAATTCAGTTTCCTCCAAATCTCGGATACAAAAGGATATACGAATTTCATAAAATTAGATCAAAGCAAATTTTAGTTTTTTCTTGAAATTACGTATCATAAAAACAAAAGCAAATATCTTTTGTGATAATAATTTTTTATACGATATTTGTCTCTTGTCTTCACGCGATAGAAATCTATCAAAGTGACTGAAAGTGTAATTTGGTATTCACAACTCGCAACGTATGAAATCGAACTAAAAAATACAGCTTAAAGAAGATCTCTTCAAACAATAAATTTACATAACGGCATCATTTACACAGTTTAATTTAAATGTATTATTCATTTTCGGTAATATTCATGAGAATGTTACATTTCTGTGACTTTGAAGGGCAGTTTAATCTCGACAAATTCCCTAAATCAGTTCACATTTGCTAGTGGATAATAAAACAGATTTGACATTAAAACATTCGTTTATTTCGGATACATGGTAGGTACATTTTTTTCTCATTTAAAATAAAACAAGTGAGTTCAGGTACAAAAATAAATATGTAGTTGGAACAACAACTATAAAATATTTAAACTTAGAAATTATAATTTTAGGGTTTATCTCGATAATCTGCATGTATGCACATACAATAATTTGAATATATGGAAATTAATTCAGGTTGTGGGATACTAATAAGCATAAATTTTATTAGGTATGTCAAAATTGGGAAGTATTTTTGCCGCATTATACAGGCTGTTCCGTCTAAACCCCACTTTAGAAGTATTGGGAGTTCGAATAATTGTATTTATTTAAAAATTGCTACATAGCCATAAACTATTAAGTCCTCCTAAATAAAAATATTTTCAAGATGCCGGTTATACCGGAAGTCGGTCTCAACTTTTTTATTTTAAATGGAAAGGTATATTTTTTACTGCGTTATTGGATTAATCGGGTTATTTTAAGGTAGTTTTTATCAGCTTTCCCTATACCTAAATTTAGCCGTTTTTGAAATATTTGGAGTTTTTCAAAAATTTTTGGATTTGCACCTTCCACTTTAAAAACCGGTAACTTTGTCATTTTTTAAGATTTTAAATTCGTTTTTTTGTCGTTTGAAAGAGAAAGCTTAGATCCTTTTTTTGGTGTTTTCAAATTTTGAAAAAAAAATAGCATATCCCAAAATTTTAAGGTTACTTTTGTAATAATTCAAATACTCATAACTCAATTTTT